GAAATGTATTTAGTAGCTTTTAAAAAACTTCTTGAAAACTTAACAAGAAAATAAATGAATGATTTCATGCACTTTTCAATTGAGCACAAATGTCAGGTTTTCACAAAATTAGGTGAATTATACTGTATAATCCGTGGCTGCTGACCAATTAAATGGGAGAGGGGTTACTACATACACACTCCAGTCAATTAAGTGAACAGAAGCTACCATCCCGATTCATACTCAGAAGATTTTAATTAATCCCTTCATCCTCTGTACATTCTAGCACAAAACCTATTAAGGGGGTTTATGGCACAGTGGGTAGCAATTTTATGAGATTGGAGTGTGCGTCCTTTTGTCCTTCAACAGGGAGAGTGAGTCACTTAAAACAAATATGTTTTCTAACTCCTATTTGTTAAGATCATATTAAGACGTATTGCGGCCCTAAAATGCATCAAGTTTAAGAAGCCTGATCTATAGCATTATCAGAAAGACGTGTTATTGTGTAACACCTGAAAAGAAGGGATTGTCTGTCTGTTCAAATAAAGTTTGAAGAAAACAGCACTCTCTAACTTGATGCTTTCCAAAGGTCTTGGGCAAATGTCCCCATAATGTGATGGTGGTAGCTTTTAGGGGCTCTTCATAGCATAGTGTGCTCAGTAGCCATTTACTTACTCATGCATAAATCTAGCAATGATTCTACTCCTGGCTTCTAAGGACTTCATTACATTAGTCTTTGGCCCCAACCTACGACACTTGAAGGACAAAACTAGGACAGAGCCCATCACAAGACAGGAATACTTCCATGGGGGTCCATCCTGGCTCCGTCCTGCAAGCATCATAGGACAGAGCCTGAGAACATGGGGGGCTTCCCATGTTCTCATTCAGTTAGCCAAGGAAGGTGTGGACAGTTATGCTTCCCTGTGTGGAATGGGGATACAGGCGATGTGGGGCTACATTTTCCCTCATTGCCTGCCAGATTTGCCCCGCTATCTCAGGGATGCACCCACTTTCATCCAGCTTAAAGAACTAGATAAAAATAACCCAGATGCTCCCAAATTATTTGGCAGTGTAGAAGGGCCCTGAGATGTAAAATGCTGTTTGGTTACATAGACATTTTCCTACAGGGAGTGGGAAAACTTAATCTTGAATTTTTTCAAGAACAGGGCATTTTGTTCGTCTGGAGAGGCCCTGCTTACGATCCCACCGGCATCGCAAGTGCAATTGGTGGGGACGAGGGATAGGGCTTTCTCGGTGGTGGCCCCTCGGCTCTGGAACTCTCTCCCTAAAGACATCAGGCAGGCCCCGTCGCTAGCAATCTTTAGGAGGAGCTTGAAAACATGGTTGTTCCAGTGTGCCTTTCCAGAATAAGGAAACTCCTAGCATTGTGCCCCAACGCACTTTATCAGAGATTCAGGATATCTGCATGCCCATTCCCCCCCCCCCCCCAGCTCCCCACCTTGTCATGCCCAGCACTTTTAATTTTAATTATTACATTTGGCCCGGCCATTGTTTTAATTGCTTCATTGGGTGTTGTTAATGTTACTGCTTTGTTTTTTGAGTTATTGCATTGTTGTTATTGCTGTTGTTTTTATTGTTGTATTTGGGCTCGACCTCTTGTAAGCCGCACTGAGTCCTTCGGGAGATGGTAAAGGTAAAGGTAGTCCCCTGACATTAAGTCCAGTCATGTCTGACTCTGGGGTGTGGTGCTCATCTCCATTTCTAAGTCGAAGAGCCAGCGTTGTCCGTAGACACCTCCAAGGTCATGTGGCCAGCATGACTGCATGGAGCGCCGTTACCTTCCCGCTGGAGCGGTACCTATTGATCTACACACATTAGCATGTTTTCGAACTGCTAGGTTGGCAGAAGCTAGGGCTGACAGCGGAAGCTCACGGCGCTCCCTGGAATCGAACCTGCGACCTTTCGATCAACAAGCTCAGCAGTTCAGTGCTTTAACCCACTGCGCCACCAGGGGAGATGGTAGCGGGGTACAAATAAAGGTTTATTGTTATTATTTATTATTTAAAAGTGATAAATTTTTCCATCTTCCAGACACCTCTGGACCTAGTGAACTCTAAAATGTCTCCATTCATTGTAGGAAGAGCCCTGAAATTCCCTTTCACATATTTAATTGAATTACTAAAAAGTGCATATCAGAGAAATAGGAATGTAAGAACATAGATAAATACAATATTCATGATAGGATGATTGAGTCTTCCTTTTAGAAAGTGGTAAATCTTCTGGCTCAACATTGGATTTTCTCTTGTTTTTCCCACCTTTGCAGAAGCACTGTGTAGTAAAGGGATGAAAGGGTTTTAACTACATTTATAATTAAGCAGATTACAAAAATGCAAATGAGGACCGAGTCATTCTAATTTTAACCAATTCAAATACCACTTCAAGGTAGAATGGAGGGGCCTTTGTTTCTAACACAGCAGGTTAAAACACCAGCTATAGTCAATCTTGTCAGTCGAAAGGCTGCCGGTTCGAAGCTGGGTCAGGATAAGCTCCTGGCCGTTAGCCCAGCTTCCGCCTACCTAGTGGTTAAAAAGCAAATGTAAATAGAAAAATAGATAAAGCTTTTTTAAAAAGCAGGGAGGTATTCTGAGGCACCTATAAGGAATGCTGTCCATTTCATCAAAAAAGAAAAAAAGAAAAGAGGAAGTTACAAATAAGCTCTTTGGCAGGGAGATGGAGTGACGGTACCCCCGTGGCACAACAACTTCCAATATGCCAGAAAGATGGGAAAGTTGAGATACACACACACACCTCCTATCTATGTATTATTGTCTGTCTAGTTGCATATTAAAACGGCACTGAATTTTTGCCGCATATTCTATGATCTGCCCTAAATCCCCATCAAGGTGAGTAGTGCAGAATATAAATACTATCAATAAATAAAAACATAAATACATAAATAAATAATTCTACTGTGCAAGGGACACAATACTTCAGTTAAAAATAATTAATTATCCTTAAATTACACTGTATAACATGGTTATTTGTTCCTGAGTTATAAGTGTCATTTCCTAATTGGTTCTATAATAAAACATGGGGAAAGGTTATTAAACTGCAGAAACTTAGATTTTCAGGACATCCTGCAACAAATTTTGCTATAGTTTTTCAATGAACCTCTTATCGAGTTTCAACCAATTCAATATAGTTTGTGGCAGCCACCATAACTAAGTTTCTACCTTCTACTTTCAAGGTAAGCACCACACAATTAAATGGGAAATAAAACCAGGCACAGAAAATATGTTACTGTATAAACTATATTTTCATGATGCCAAAATAGAGAGGTGCGGGGAGGTGTCTGGGAGGTCACTATTAAAGCCATCAACCATGGAGGCAAATAATTTCAAGTAGCTTCATGGCACTTGGAAATATTAACATACATAGTCTTCTTGAAAAGGAAAGGCTTACTTTAGACACATCTTTTGGATTCATCTTTAGCCAACCTGCTCCACAGCTGGATTTCTTACTTTCCCCCTCTTGCATGTTTTACACTGAAACTGTTTAACACTAAATTATTTACTCATCTGCATTGACATAGAGGTATTATTTATTTAATGCATTTTTACTTTTTTTTTACTAGAGATTACAAATAATTGGACCTGTCATGTGTTCTTTGCTTATCAGTTCTACATTCAGAAATGTATATTGTAGGCAGGTAGTAATTTCCTTGTATAACAGACAGAGAGAAGTATTGTGACTCACTCCAGGTATTTTATGGCATTTTAAACGGGAAACAAAATGTTCTATGAACAACTTAAGAATGAATTTATCTACGTTCCTCTATGTAACCTTCTCTGAAACATACTGAGCTCATTTCTGCTCCTAGATACGAGGGGTATTTTTAAAGTAAGGTCCGTTTTGTTGTAGACACTAGTAGTTCGCGTGCATACCACAACAAGTGCGTGCGTCGTGTACCGGCATGCCTCGGGGACAACTGTGCTCAGTTTCCGCTCCGTAGCCAACCTGTACGGTTCTGTTCTGTGCTTTAAAAATGTTTAAGACTATCAACTCACCCTCCGCATGTGAGGTTCGCTCAGTGATACGGTTTTTGTCAGCAAGGAACCTGCCTGCTACAGAAATTCATCGACAGGTTTGTGAACGGTGATACTGTTATGAGTGAAAGCAAAATGCGTAAGTGGGTACGACAATTCCAAGATGGCCGTGACAACATCCATGATGAGGACTGCTCCAGTCGCCCTTCTTTGATTACAGACGATTTGGTGGCTTTTGGTGGCGGCAAGTTTTTATGAAGAGGGTATTTTAAAATTGGTTCAGAGGTATGATAAGTGTTTGAATAAACTTGGCAACTTGTCAAAAATAGAATGAAGTATGTACTTTCTGAAAATAAATTTACTTTTTTAAAATAAACTTTCGTTGTGTACTTATGTTCAATGGACCTTACTTAAAAAATACCCCTCGTACTACTAACAGCCACACAACATTTTGGCCATTTTGGAGACAGAATGATATGTTGGGTAGCATAATTGCAGTGAAAAGACCTTGAAATGTCTGGGACTCTAATTGTATCTTTGTACTATGAAATGGCATTACTTTCTTCAGAAACTATATGTCTCTTCATGCATTCATTGGCTGAAATCCAGTTGTTAATCCCAATTACAGTATATATGTTAAATTAAGTGAATTGTTGGAAATATTCATTTATCAAATTGCCATTGATTTAGTGTATATTTTTAAATTGGGGATAGCACCTGGATTTAGGCCAGAGGTAGGAATCATGCACCCCTTCAGATAATGTTGAATTTCAACTTCTTGTATTCCTCAGTTTGACTAAGGCTGCTAGGAGTCCTTTAAAATTTGTTGTCGAGTCACTGAAAATGCAACTGGAAGGGACATTACATCATTCACCTTGGACCCATCAGGGCAAAACTGACCCCCTGTCTCTTCAGCAATAACCCCATCTCATCTTTAAAGGTTTTCATTGTTACCAACATTCATAAAATTCCTGCTTGCCCCATCAGTGATCTTGCATTCATTTCTCTTTGTAGTAAAAGAAGCTTCAGAGGATCAGAAGCATGGCTGATGAACGGAAGGATGAAGCTAAAGCACCGCACTGGACCTCAAGTCAGCTAGCCGAAGCTTCTTCCCACTCGCATTCCCCGGAGATCAAGGAGCAAAGCAGTGCAAGTGAAGGGTTGGTCAGAAGTGCCAATGGATTTCCATACAGAGAGGATGAAGATGGAGGATATGGGGCACGTGGGCAACAGAGCTCATATTCCAGAACCAAAGAGAATGGGATCAATGGAGAAGTAGCAACCGGAGAGAAAGAAACTGCAGGTAAAGATGTTCACCAAGGTCACCCCCATCCTTTGTTTTTCCAATCTTTGCTTTTAAAGAGATGTACACTGCTCTTACTTCTTCTGTAGTCCCAGATATCATGAGCATCTGGCTTAGAAAAGGCTACATACAGCAGGATGTGTGCTAATTTGGACAATGGGCCAGGATCTCCTGTGGAAGACACTGACATGGCCTGGCCAATGTCATGTCTTTTGGAAAATGGCATTCATAACCTTTTGGAAAAATACCTTTTGGAGATCATAACTTTTTAAGAAAAGTGTGACCTTTCAGAGAAGAGCCAAAAACCCTTTAGAATAGAATCTTCTCTTGTGGTATACAACCAGATAGAATTATGCAAGGTAATGGTTTCAGTTATTAGACTTAATAACATGTCTCTGATCTGTTAGGAAAACAGAGATTAGCCAGTGCATAAAAACAGCAGTGCTTCACAAGTGTTTTTCAGTGTACAAAAATATATACTCTCCCATAAAACAACCTGTTTTATATCATGCAATCAAGAGAAAAAAATGAGATAGACCTGGATAAAAATAACATATTTGGTTTACTCAAAACCTTCATGTGTTCAGCATACACAGGTACAAAACTTATTAACCAGTTTCAGATAATTTGAGATAATTCTCTGTGCCATTTGACAGTTGCTATAACAAAACAACTATCAACTGGTCACATGGTCAAATAGAGCCCCCAGTGGTGCAACGGGTTAAACCGTTGTGCCAGCAGGACTGAAGACCGACAGGATGGAGGTTCGAATCTGGAGAAAGCGCAGATGAGCTCCTTCTGTCAGCTACAGGTGTCTATGCAGGGACATGAGAGAAGCCTCCCAAAAGGATGGTAAAACATCAGAACATCTGGGCGTCCTCTGGGCAACATCCTTGCAGACAGCCAATTCTCTCACACCAGAAGTGACTTGCAGTTTCTCAAGTTACTCCTGACAAAAAAAAAATAGTCAAAAGGAGAGAGAGAAAAGCATGAGGTCTGCAGACCCTTCTATAACTTCTCAGAAACCATAGAGTAAAGAAAGTTGTACACCAGAACATACATATAGGCAACAGCAAGCAACAGGATCATAGATAAACATTACTAGAGTATGCTTGAAGAAAGTTGTCATTTCCAACAATGTCCTGAAAATACTTGGAGAAGATAACACATATAAGGGGGAAAGGTGGTCTACCAGTGGTAGAGCATTTTTTTCCCAGACAGTTGGTCCTATGATCCATATTTAGATCTCCAGAAGTCTTTCAGCTAATATTCTACTATGGAATCTGTTTTCTACTCAATATTGTTGAACTCTATTTGATATCTCCCTGAACCAACCTATGGGAGGATGGGAGTAGTGGTAGCAGTTACTGGGAGTAGTAATTAACCAATATCCAAGAGGCCACGTGTTTCCTACCTCTGTAGATTTGTGAAAGGTCCTGACTGGGAAGCCTTTCACATTGCCCAACTATAGCACAATGATTCCACTTTAACTGTTGTGGTTGCATAATGTGGAATATAATGATTGGTGGTTGGTTAGAGGCTCCAGAGGATAATTCTCTGGTTGAATTCCCCTGTCTCCCACGATCCCATAGAATGTTGCCATGACAGTTAAAGGGGAATCAAAGGGCAATAACTGTGTAGTGTGGGAGGGGTGTGAGATTGTCAAAGGCTCTTCCCAGTCTGGACAGAAATAGCATCTAGACAAGAGCTATAGTCTGCCTTGGCGTAAGGGAAAGCAGTTGTCCTTTCATAGACTTGAGCCTGGAGAGGGAAATCAAGGGCAGACACTGTCACAAAGAATTTCTTCATGAGCTTGTTAAGTTGGTTTACTCCAGGAAAATAAAAGAGAGAGGCGAGGGGGTGGGCAGTGGAGAAGAAAATAGAAGGAAAAACAGAGCTGCTTTAGGATTCAGCGTTGAGGCCATTGCAGTTATAACATTGGGATTCGACTGCTGGTGCCACATGCATTATTGTCAAGTTTATAATAGACATAAATGGAAAATGGGTAAACAAACATGTGGCTTGCTGTGACTAAAATAAGACCAGCTGTTTAATGTTAATGTTTGTGAGCCCTGATGTTTTGAGCAGTGCCAGATTCATCTGCTATGTATTATTATATACGACATAACATGAAGCTTTGGAAATAAGTGATGGGAAGGCTCTGAGGTTGTGACTGCTGCTATGTCAGAATGAAATGCTGGAATAGGATGTACCTGTTTGGATTGGGTGAAAGAGATACCATTTTAGTTTTCCTTCCAATAAATATGTGTGTGTGTGTGTGTGTCTGTGTGTGTGTTGTGGACTAGTACAGCTGTTTGTCTATAAAGTTACCCTGTTAAATCTTCCAGGAAACTTTTAACAACAAGGCATGCTTTTTGGATAAATAAAACACAACTTGAAGTGTGAAGCTGTATAGCTCATTCTGCTGCCTCACACTTTAGGCATAGATAAAGCTTAGGAAGATGAACAGTGATCATAAAACACAATGTGGAAAAGTTCATTCACACACACACACACCCATACAACCTTCCCCTCTGTTTTCATTTTTGTACAAGTAGAATTGGAGTACAGAACCAGTGGATACAGTTTGTTCAAACAATAGCAAGAAAAGTGAAGATATTCATGTTGTAAAGTCATTATTTGCTGATACCAGGCATGTAGCCAGGGGCGGGGGGGGGGGGGGGGGTTGAGGGGCTTCACCCCCCCCCCCCGAAATTCTCATGGTGGTTCGCGAAAAGGCCTTACTGGTGCATTATTTAAACTGTTATGTTTATTCATATCATCATCTGATCACCATACTCAATATATCCCATATGCATGGGGGTATTGGGGTAATGATACAAAAGGTTTGCTAGGCTAGACCCTCTTTCACTCAGACTCAGCCCCCCCCCCCCCGAATCAAAATCCTGGCTACGGGCCTGGCTGATACCATTCTGAAATCCCCAAGCTTTGCATTATCATTTCATGGTTTTGAGAAATATCTACTTTTCCATTTTTCAAAAGTAACTTAAGTCTGTAATCATGAAAAGTCTGAATGCTGCAAGCTGATATTTCTGGTAAAAACACACACACTTCCCTGTTCTTCTTGTTATCACTTTGATATACTCAGTAGATCATCAAACAGCAGCATGGGCCAGTGCTTGAATCATTTGATATTTTTTTATTACACCATTTTAGTAAGGCCATAACTATAAAAAACATTTTAAAAGTTACAGTTACATCAGAAGAGGGGTGGAATTGGTAAAGCTTTGACTCAAAAAAAGAGGAAGTCACAGGGAGGGTGGAGCAAGCTTGTTCTCTGCTGCCCTAGAGACTAGGACGCGAAACAATGGCTTCAAACTATTTATTTATTTATTCATTTACAGTATTTATATTCCACCCTTCTCACCCCACAGGGGATTCAGGGCAGATTACAATGTACATATACAGCTAAACATTCAATGCCTTAGACACCATAACACATAGACAGACAGTCATAGGCTATTTAACATTCCAACTTTTTCTGGCCACCAGGGGAGCTGTCGCTTCACCGTCCATCCACGACACTGATGAAGTACTTCCTCATTTCCCGCATGCTCACTGATCTTTATGGCCTTGAATGAATGAATGAATTGTTTATTGTACTAGCCATAGGCCATGACATCAATAATATAATAATATTATGATTCTATGATACTAACTTTATAAACACTTTCCAATATAAACCTTAAAACGTAACAAGAATTAAAACTAAAACAATTTCTTTAAAATTATGAAAGCAGAGACATGACAGTGATAGTGTCTGCTTTGTGTCAATCCAAACCGTTTCCATTTCTGACCCCCAGTATGGATTTTGCTGCTTTGGCTCTGATCTTTTGGGCTGTGATTGCGAATGTGACGAATGTGGCAACCTTTAGTGTTATATTTTTAGAATGATCTGCTAGCAAGTTGCAGATCACCACAGATTGTTGCCATGATGCCCTTTCTTCCAAGAGTGATCCTAGGAGATTTTTTCCTAGGATCATTGTACAAAGGGCAACGTAGCAAATAGTGTGTTATGGCCTTGTAAATTAGTTAAATTAACCTCCCCACAAAGTGGTACCTAAATTTCCTACTTGACAGATGCAATTGTCTTTTGGGCTGCAAAGGTCAACAACAAGCTACACAAATTTGGTCGGAAGCTCACTCCGACCCGGGCTGGCTTCAGTCATGAGTTCAAAACTACTAGAAAGGATATTCCATCTCAACATTAGAAAAAACTTCCTGACTGTGAGAGCCATTCAGCAGTGGAACTCTTTGCCCCGGAGTGTGGTGGAGGTTCCTTCTTTGGAGACTTTTAAATAGAGGCTGGATGGCCATCTGTTGGGGATGCTTTGAATGCAATTTTCCTGCTTCTTGGCAGGGGGTTGGACTGGATGGCCCATGAGGTCTCTTCCAACTCTATGATTCTATAAGGCTATCTGAGACTATCTTGTGATTTCACCTAGTATAAAAGTGTATTGATTCATTGTTTTTAATGAGGCATGCTCCTTCAACTTGAGTGGCAACGAGGCAGCTTGTAAACAGGGTTTGCAATTGGCTGCAGGGTAAAAAAAGAAAGCTCTGTAACTAAAGGTAATTGTTAGTAGATTAAACTATGCCAAAGGCACAAATTATGGAACCATTATTTGTCTATTTGCTCCTGTACATCAGTAACATTTGATTTATTAAGGTATAAATTCTATGTATCATCAGCGCAAGGCATAATAGCTTCCCCGAAGCATGATGCACTGCTTTGTTCTAATTGTCAAACCATGAGTTTATTGAGAAAAAGAGGGAAGATGATTCATGGAATGTGGGTAGGCAAGGAGTGGGCTGGAGCTGGGGTCTTCAAGCAAGGAGAGGGGATTATGAATCACCTGGGCTGCAGCTAACATTTCCGTATGTATTATCAATGGCTTGGATTGAGAGGGGAGAGGGGAGAGAGATGCATAAAATGTCAATGTTTTCCCATGAATCTTAGTAGTAGGCTATTTTTACAT